GAGAGAGAGAGAGAGAGAGAGAGAGAGAGAGAGAGAGAGAGAGAGAGAGAGAGAGAGAGAGAGCTGCCAAATTAGTATGCCTGCCTGGATAGCAACTGTCCCACTATGTAAGACGGCTGGATAGCGAGTGCCATATTGAGAGACAGACATCAAGACTCATCGCGAGGGAAACATTCTGACTTGTATGCACAGGTGTTCAGCTTGCCAGGGACAATGGAATGACATCGAGCACGTGTTTGACTAGCTTCACCTGTTCAGAAGTGCTATGTTTAGCTTTCAGTATAGCGGTCTTTTGCTAAGCATGGTCGGACATTTAGCACGTTCCTGTTTCCTACGTCACTATTCACTTGTGCTATTCCAGTTAGTAAGTCAGCCTTGATTGGCTCGCATTGGACAAACAATCCACTCATGCCTTCAGTCACATCCGCTTGCCCATCAATTTTTGGGATCCCTTTCTCCCAACTGAATACGATCTCTGCGCAGACAGAGCAACAACAAGAAAAACAAATAAAAAAACTTACTGCGAGCGCTTCTGGCGGCTGCATTGCTCTGCTGAGGAACTTGGCGATGCTGTTGCACACAATCAACACAGCCATTAACAGCAGGTTAGCCTCTGACAGAGCCGTCATGAAGTTATCTCCCACTTCTATGTGTCAAAAACTGATAATCAAATTGTTAGAATCTAAAAAAGCTCCATCACTTGGCAATAGGTAGATGACCGTAGATCTATGTGCATGGCAAGGGGTCAATTTGCATCATCAAGATGTGTCATATCTAAGTGGAACAGAGGGCTCATAGAGACCTGAAGCTCCAGGTTCAAAGTCACATCGAAGCCTGGGACTGCATGTAGTCGTAAACCTTGGTCAGCGAGCATACGTAGTAGGTAGGTCGATGCCTACCAGGCTACCACCTCAGAATTGCCTATCGTCTTCTGAGGTTGAACTCCGCACTTGGTGCTGGACAGAGTCAATGAAGAAGTCGACCACCGCCTATGCACTTGTTAGTATAGTGGTGGAGGGCACTCACTGCCTGTAGAAAACGTCCGCCAATGAGCAGTAGGTAGGTAGGTATAGAGTACTTTAGACCGCCCATCTAGGAAAACAAGAAAAAAAGAAACTGATGAGATGACAGCCCGGTATGTTTCAAGTCAAATCTCAAGGAGTCGAGCCACAATAACAACTGTTCAACACATCTGACCCTTTTCTACATCACGACCAAACTTTCTACGTTCCAACGCCCTTCACCCCTTCTTTGCACATGCCCCTCTGCACTTCCTGGGCCCCTTGCACTTCCTAGGCCCGCGGCACTTCCTGCGCCTGCTGGTGATGATGGTTCACATATGTCGGACACTGAGAAGTCAAATGAAGCTGCATTGCACTTAGTCCAGTACGTAATGCAACCAGACAATTCCTTCAGTATAGCTGAGCAAACAACAGGGATTCAATTGCACCGGGGTACTGACCTCCCTAGCCCCAGGCTCTTGATTTGCAAGCATAGTTCTTCTAGAGGCGTTCTCAGCAGTTCTGGAAGCTGAAGGTTTCAGAAAACGAGAGCAATTCAGTGAAAATACACAAATCGGTCAGCTGCAGAGTAATAAGAGAGCAAATCAACAGAAATGCACAAACTGGTCAGCCGCAGAGTAATCCGATCAGGATCAGGTGTGCATCACGTGCAAATGCTTTGATCATTGACTTTGTGAATATCACAAAGACACGCCCCACGTGACTTCATTCACATGCCAGAAGGGACTCGATCCAGAACCAAAGGTAATTGACAACCAAAAGGGAAGCAAACGACAATCGGCACCATGTTTTTTTTTTGTTTTTGTTTTTGTTTGTTTTTGTTTTGTGTGTGTGTGTGAAGGGTAAGTGTGAAATAAGACGAAATGTGAAACACGGAAAAACATAGCAGTTCAAGACAGACCCAGCACAACTTCCTCGGTCCAACGCTTGAGATGTGGTAAACAAAACCGGATCTCAAATTACTAAAGGGGGAGGGGGGGGGGGGGGGGGGGGGGGGGGAAAAAAATAAAAAAAAAAAAAATTTAAAAAAAAAAAAAAAAAAAAAAAAAAAAAAGGGGGGGGGGGGGGGGGGGGGGGGGGGGGGGGGGGGGGGGGGGGGGGGAGATGGAGTTCTAATCTGAAAAAGAGACCGCAACTATTGCTTCACCCAGTGGGCTCAGTTTGTGCATACTTATATTTACAGTGAACTTACATGAAAGGTACCAAGGTGCCTTATGAGCAGTCAACTCGTCATTCCTAGTCTAATCACTGTACCAGCCAATGATGTCTAGATGTGTCAATCAGTTTCTGATTCCATGTTGTATGTCGGCGGTCAGGGTCGGCGGTCGCAGGTATGCAACCCTGGCGCAAAAGGGGAAAGAAAGAAACAAACAGAAAAATACATGACCATTACAGACGTGGACACTGGATACCAGATAGTTCGGACTGGGCCCCAGATCTGATCTGGACCAGGGGGTGCCTTGCCCTTGCCCTAGCAAATCTGTTATATTAAATTATTAATATATTTCCAATTTCATTTTCTTTTCCCTCAAACTTGGCCTCGCATTCTGAATGTTTGTATTGTGATGCTGCATAATGTCTTTTTTTCCAATTCTTTTCTTCTCAACCAAAATAAGGGAAATTAATTAACACTTGCAGATCTTTTAATTGCTCCAAACGGTTTCTGCAATGAACCTCTCAGTTCAGCACCAGTGAGCGCACATATTCACACCACATGCGCGTATGAGATCACACGGCGTTCACACTGGAGATCAGAGAGATAAAGACCAGGTAGCGCAGCTTGTGAATTCCAACAAGTTATTACAAGAGCAATAAGAGTTCAAGTCACCTGCGCTTATGAGCGCATGCCGTGGGTAACCGGTAACCAGCATAAACTCTCTCAGGTAAGTGTCTCTTTCTCACTGCTCTTCTCTCTTGTGAATCTCTTCTCCTTACTGGTCTTCTCTCCAACTACGTCCTCACTGTGTCTTCTCTCCCCACATACGAGCACACTCACCAACTTCTACTCAAGGATCTACTCTGAATACACCCACTGTGAACTCTACTAACCCCTCTGGAGTCTACTACTATCTGCTAACATTAACATCCTGCGCTAGCGCAGCTATGGCTTCCTTCTCCCTCCCAGCACTGTCTTCCTCTCTCTCTCTCTTAGCGCAGCACCCTGGCTTCAGCGCTCTGCCCCTAACATCGACGCACAAGTGCACCAGCACTTCCACACTTCTTGCGAATGAGCCCTCTGCCCGAATGGTAGGCTGGCCAGTCCTTTTGTAGTCTTGGAATGCACTTCAACTCGTGCCAGCCTCTGCTTTCTGGGGCCTGACTGGTTCCGGTACCACATCCCCACGGCCTGTCTGCTTCTGAATGTCAAGGCCTGGAACCTTCCCGAATTTATTGGTCTGCTGCTGCTTGGGCCTTTGAGTCATGACTTTTCACTTGTGAACACGACTTTTGACTGTGGGCTGTGACTCCTGGTTCTGGGACACGACTCTTGCCTGTAGAACTGGCCTTTTAGTCGTGGGATGTGACTCTTTAATATGACGTTTCATTATGAGTCGTGACTCTTGCCCCTAAGATGTGACTGTTTGCTGGGTGCCTGTTGGACTGGACTGCTGAGGTGCCCGACTGTGACTTTTCTGAATTTTCTGAATTTGACGAACTCGGCCTCTCTTGACCAGGGCCTCTGACCCTGAGACCCGAATTTGGGGTCTGAATCGTGGAAGGACCAGGGCCTCTGACCCTGAGACCCAAATTTGGGGTCTGAATCGTGGAAGGCCTTTCAGTTTCCCCCACCACAGACACCAAAACATCCGGAAACTCGTGTGGTTAACTGCATGGTAGCCATGAAAAAAAGAAAACCAAGAAAGTGCAAACAGCACGAAAAACGAGCCCAAAAAAAATGTGCAAGTTCAGCACAAAACGTGGAAAGTAAGTTATCAAAAACTGAGAGGGTCAGTTCTTAATTCCGAATCATAATTCGACTCATTTGAGGGAAAATAAAGAGAACAAATGCCTCCAAACGTTTTAGCTAAATAGGAATACCCATGTAATCAATGACAGGTAAGGCTCCCGCGCAGCGGCACAACTTCGTTTTGGAAAATATGGTATTAAAACTTAAAAGTTGTGAAGCAGGTCGCATATTGTTTCAAGGAATTGAAGCGGCGCGTTGTGCCACCACCTGGATATTTCGCAGAACTGGTAAAATATGGGTGAGAGTTTTTCAAAAAAAACATTGAATGCCTGTAATTCATCAGCATGGAATGCGGAAAACCAACAGTGAGGTTCGTCTTTCCGAGTCTACAGAACTACGCCACACACAGAAGTATTGTGAATGGCATGCCCTGTGCTTGGAGAATGTGACTTGGAGAACCATGGCCAAACAGTCGGTCAATAGTTAAGGAGATGAGAAACGGTGGACAATATGAACTCTTGTGAGTCTTGCTACTGTCCTTATTTCCTTGTTTTTTTCCCTACACAGGTCCTTACGGGCCCGGCTCGATATCCATCCTGGGGAGCATGCCTGGTTCCTATTCCACCTGCAAGTCAGATTCAATACAACAGCACCCATTCACGCTTCGCTCCTTGACTGGCGAAATTTCCCTAAGCAGCATCGACGACTCCTTTTTCCCGGATCCACTTTCCACGTGGAGCCACTTTCCACAAAACAGAACAGAAAGCCGACGTGTCAACGGAGCCCACAGCAGCTGGCATGCCCGACGAACAGCATACAAAAACTTCCAGATGTTCTATGTGGCATTGATTCAGCCAATTTGACACACAATGCAAAACTGCAGCCAATAAAGACTACTAAGCTGAGTCGATAAGCACTTCTACTTCAGCAAACAACATATATGATGGACAACCCTAAGGGTTGTAAGTGAGATAATAACAAGTTCTTCACTAACCATGCATCCATCATATCACGGAAAGAACGGAAATGAAAAATGGCCTTGACTCAGTCCTCTCCAAGTACCTAGTGCTCGACATTCCTCTCTAGACATCTAGGCTATACTCTTTGTTGATTCAACAAAAAGACTGGAATCCGAGTTCGCCTCAAGTAGGAGAAAAGCTCCACAAAATCTGCACGTCGGGAACGGAAAAGGGAGGACAGAGACACTGTTTCAGGATGAAGAGAAGGTGCAAGGTTGTTTGGGGGGAAATGGACACCTGATAGTCTTGCATTGCATCATAAAGAACTTTGGGGTAGACGTGATAGCAAACACCCGGCTGAACTCGACCCGCACGGCCTCGTCTCTGCATGTCAAGAACCGACGGAGCAGCAAGTTACTTCTCAACAACCAGACATCACATAGCATGGCAGATATTACATCCCAAAGGACCATCAGGAACCCCTACTATACCCCCCATAGTACAAAGTACCACTCAAGTAGCATATGCAGTAGTTGTCAGAGGTTACACCTGCAGCTCACCTGCTGACTCCTCACCATTCCCGTATCTCCACGATGTGAACTCGACAAAACACCTATCACAGGAGACTCTACAAATGAGTGTCAGGTCCCCAGCTCTGCAATTGCAGCCAACTGAACAGGAAGGAACCAGGTGACAAAAACAGACCACATTCATGCTATTTGGCACACAATACAGGAGGTTAGGCTTGACCTTAGGCCTCAATCCACCTCTCACCAAATGCGTAAAGCGAGAATGAATCTTCCCCTAGGACATGGAAAGATAGACCGCCATAATTTCTGTCCTTCGTGAACGTAGTGCGTGGTGGAGAGAGGTCTGTACTCCGTAGTATCATCACTTTTAACAAGAGGGATATTTATTATTTCCTTGACGCATGTGTGACTAACTTGTAACCTGTGTCTCATGCATTCCTGAACCTTTTAAACCACCAGTACTTGGTCCACACATCGGCCACGGGCCCCTCACTGAGGCTTTTGGAGGTCCGGAATGCAACAACGGCGCTGATGAAATTTATCAATGGCAGCCCAGCCCCGAGAGTTGCGGACTGTAACGAGCCGCATCTCCGAAAACTAGCTGGGAAAGGTACTGATGGTTTAAGAACAGCACAGCAACTAAGGAGATGACCACGTACGAGATGCAAAGCTGGTGTTGCACAAGCGATTGAACACCAACCCAGATGCGGATAGCGGCAGCGGCCCAACCCTTTCTGTTGCAAGTGGCACGACACAGGACAAGCTTTTGTACAAGAAGAGAAGACAGCCATGCCAGGCCTTAGAAGGGGACACTTTTCTCCATCCGTCAAGATTTAAGGATCAAGGACTCCATGTTCAAGAGAAAATTTGAAAAAGAAAATCGAGTGAGACACTAAGTATTAAGGAGTTCTCCCCCTGAGAATATAACAGAAGGGGAGGGGGCATTCATATTCCATTGTCAGAGGTGAAATTTTTGGATTTATGGATGAAAAAAAGGGGGAGGAAAAAAAAAAAAAAAAAAAAAAAAGAACCAGGGAAACACACATGCAGAAGTTGCTGCAGTTAATGTGTTTCACTGTCCCTTATCTCCCCCACTTATGCTCCACTCAGCTGAAGATCATTGTGCTGCTAGCTGAACGAGAACACACCTAGACAACATAGAATTATAAATCAATGTAAGCATAGTTCTAACTTCCAGCGTTGTGTAAAGACTGGGGAGGAAACAATTCTTCACTTCAACATTCTTCGTCAAGTTTGAGCACTTTCTTTCAGGCATTCAGTCAGTACCTAATCTTCACATGGTTTAACCGCGAAGGTTGTGCCTCTACAACAAGGACTGAATGAGCCACACTAACGGTGACCATCATCACACTAACAGAACCATTCAAACGTTGGAGAATGATGGGGCACTGTGCTGTTATCATCATCTTATCTTTTTCTATTGATGTTGTACCATCGTTTACTTGTTCCCTTTTGATTTTTGGCACAAGAAATGCAATGACAACATGAGAGTGATGACTAACCTGATGAGAAGAAGCTTTGGAGATCCAAGAAGGTGTAAGGCATGCCAACTTGTTCACCGCATCGTAACTCGTCTCCTTGGACTGCCAACAATACGATATATCCACAATGAGACGCATATGTTCAGGGTCAACCTCAGCGAAGATCAGATCATCATCATTTCTCTATTGCAATCAGTAATACCATCGCCTCTCATGTCACACGTTAGATGCTTGCTTGGTTCCATCTCATGGTGTGCGATAGGACCACTGAGGCAGCTAGCAGTGCAGTAGACTTATAAGGGTAGGAGATCATGTATCATGGCACATTTCAAAGAGTTGAAGCTGAGACTTATTACCGCGTCTCTCGCTCATTGAGGGGCACAATGGCTACTAGGTTGAGGGGCTGAAGGGGCATCCACTCACTCAACCACGCCTTATGTTTTTCTTTGTGTCTGCGTCGTTGTTGTTCATGTTTTTGTCAGAGGAAGACTTTGTCTACTTCTTCCCAGCAAAAGGATGTGTGGGATGTGCACATCTTCTTTGCATTTCTCCAGCTGTGAGAGAGATCATTTTTGCTTCTTTAGAGCGTTCCCCCTACTTGGTAGGTGGGGTTCACATGGTTTACCTCTTTCTTCCTCACCTGTTTGCCTCAAATTGTTTTCCCTGAGGGCCCTGTGAGGGGTCATCTTTTCTGCGCCAAGGACACCGACTCGACTAACTAGGAGACATGACGATTGTCTGAGACTCAGTCGGAGTGAGGCCGCGCACACTCTGTGATAATCCTCGGGGGGCAAAGATCTACTTTTAATCTGCATGGTCGAGCGGCGAGTCAGTGGACGGGGAAAACAGCTGGCAGAGGGCAAGCCACTCCAAATACAGGCTGCTTAGCACACACGCTTCACTCTTGTTGGCATTATGCCACTGGCCCGGCAGACTGCTCCAAATACAGGCTGCTTGGCGCACACGCTCCACTCTTGTTGGCATTATGGCACTGGCCCGGCAGCCAGACACCACATACTTGCATGTCTATTTCTAGAAAGCGGTAATGCTGCAGGATGCAGCTATGCTTATCGTTAAGTCTAACACCTAGGGAAAAGGCTGTTATGGGAGGGGAAGGGCATGGAGAATGACGAGGGTGAGAAAGCTCGAGGATCTGCATGGTTGCTGCAAAAGGCCGGAAAATTGGAAATAGTATTGTCTGGAGTATGCTTGTTCGCTACTCACCATTTGTGCAGATGTGCATGATCTATGTTTCCTCAGAGAAAAAAGCAACTTTTTTTTCCTACTGAAGAAAGTAGAAAATTGTTTCTCAAAAAAAAAAAAAAAAAATGAAGAAGAAAAAAAAGAAAGGGCCGCTGCTCCTCTCTGTCAAACCCTGAAGCCACAGTTCTGGCGTGCGCCCATAGAACTAAGGGTGCTGCTGCAAGACACCCCTCACAACAGCAACCCTGATTACAGCAAGTGCTAAGGGTCCTGCTGCAAGATACTCCCCACAACAGCACCCTTACCTTTTTGTCACCAAGTTCATCCAAACTCTGCATCACAGATCCAGTCAGAAAAAAAATGACAATCTTTACATCCTGTTGAGTTACCATCTGGCGCTGTGGGCTCAAGATGGGTCCCTCTCATGGCAACATGAGAGTTCAATCACTTCGCTATCTATATGCTGGAAACGCCTTAGAGTTGCAAATTCCGAATTCATTGGTCAATCAATCAGCAGGCTCGCCATCAGTGGTTCCAGTCCAAGGACAAAAGAGTGATGACGGAACATGCCCTAAGCAAAACCCCCACGCCATCACTCTGGAGTCTGGAGTGGCTAAATGACCTAGATGCCTATGCAGCATCATCTCTGAGTTACTCATTACTCCTAGTCAACAATCACCACATAAGGTCTGAAGTTCTGAACTGTTTCACCATGGGTGATCATCCGAGGCGTATACCAGGACTCCAAGACTATACAACTTCACATTATTCCACCAAGACAATTGGTCCGTTGTAAACAACAAGATCGCCACGATCAGATGCTGCGACTGCTACCTTTCCTCCCAATTCCAACTTCACACGATTCGGAAGTCTTCCTTGTCGCCCCAGTATCTAGGCTACCTTTGAAGATAACCTCAGGTAGTCCAAGGACTAAGAGGATGCTTTTCAGGACTCAGCTTTTCAGGACTCAGCTTTTCAACAGCAAAAGGGAAACGGGGTAAAGCTCCAAGAGGTTGCCTACGATTCGTTGTACGTATTGGTAAACAGAGCTTCCCGGTAAACCGCAGGCACAGAGGGAGACTAGGACAATAAACGAGGGGCTGTGACAAACTGTTTCGTCAGAGTTTCACCGACTCATCAGGACGCTGGACCCGTTTTCCAGCAGGTGAAGCTCCCCACCAATCGACGGGAGCCATCCACAAGCAACCCTCGATCCCCCGCTTGTCCTCGTCATACCACCACGGGACCGAAGGACTTCGCAGGATGTGTTTGTAAAAAAAAGGAAAAAAAAAGGGAAAAAAGAAGAAGAAGAAGAAGACGAAGATCACCACCTTCAGTCTTGCACCCTACAGGTGCAGCTGTGGAAAGGAAGAGGGGGGGGGGGGGGGGGGGGGGG